AGATACAAAATTTTAATAATACAAATGCTGTTTGTTTTCTTAAATATAAAACAGTGGCGCCCAATTGATACCTTTGACGTCTCTTTTAAAGAGTGTCAATGAGCAATGATATAGAAATATAGAAAACACGGTATATACTTTCAATATACAGCAGTGGCGCCCAACTTGTAGCAACGGCAAAAGGCGCATAAAGCGTAGTTTAATTTAAAAAAGGTGAACCAGAAATCATAAACAAAATTTTAATTATTAACTATGACAGACAGAACAGATATTTATTATAAGAAGTCCCAATGAGGGATAATATAGACAAGTTGAAGGGAATGTTTATAACGTTCGATACAAAGGAAAAGGTTAAGAAACTATATTAAGGTTTCACTGTAATGCCAACTAAATCATAATTATCCTTTGAAATGACATAATCTGAAGTATTCCTGAATTTTGGTGAATTACCAGAAAAAATCCTTAAAACCATTAAAATAAATTAAATAGGTTTCTACAGTTATATGGAAGTTATGACAAAAAACGGATCTAACCAATTTTCTGCACTGGTTTTACTTACCCCGTAAGAATCCTGGAAAATCTACATAAAATAGGGCGGGGCCTGACCCCCAAAGTACCACTACAGGTGAAAATGCGGTTAGGAACAATAACAATAGGTTGGGCGAAACAAGGATGTTTTTCTTCTCCGCTCATTAATCGAACTAATCGAATCATTTTCACCGTGGGAAATGTGTCCTCTTCAAAAAAAAAATGGTTCGATAACAACTTCCATCATAATATTCGACAATTTTAATAAAGAATTTTGAACCTGTGTCGAAAAAAAAAAACTAATAAATCATTATCATTGGACAAACGTCTGAAGTACAATTAATTATTTGCCGTTGTAATTGTTTGACAACTTAACTTTTAATAACAACGATGAACACGTGCACAGCGATGATGATTCGATGCAGCAGTCCGATTTTACATGGCCGGTTGTATGGAATATCATTACCAACCACCCACCAACCAACACGGCAACAGCAACGACAACAAAATGCAATAAAAAGCAATGAATGAATGAACCAACGAACGCAAAAAAATTAGAAACCGAGATCCTTTTTTCATGTTTAATTAAATATTTTATAGTTTCGCTAAATGCCCACACACTTACGAGCGCACACACCCGCTCCTTTGCCATATTCCAGTCATTCACTTCACTGGCATATGTTCTTCATTTATCTCCTCCTCCTGCTGCTGCTGCTGCGGCTCGCTTCAATGAAACCATGACAATCTACATTGGGTGTTGGGTTCTTTATTAAAAAACAAATAAATGGAAAGAGGAGGGGTTGAGAGGCTTATATGTTATACCAAGTGGTTGGTAGATAGGGATGTCGATGAGGACTTTGAAACAAATATCACTAAAACAATTTAAACAAATCGTCACAAATACTTGTAATTTTTTGGTTTTGTACAAACTACCAAATACTTATACTTTTTAAGTTTTGTGCTTTAAATATTGTTCCATGTTGTGCACTAAACAAAGCCCTCATATCCTTAAGAAAATTTCAGTTTACATAAAACTAGAATTGGCGAAATATTCTGACGAAATAATCAATGTATCTGTTCCCGTCCACAACATTTGGTTAAACTATTCAAATTTATAAAAAAAATCAAATAATGATAGGTTATTGGAGGTTGTGGAATATGATGATCATAAACCTCTTTAAAAACATGCTACTGCTTTAATTTTTACTTTAAAAATTAATAATAATATAAACTATATAAAAATAACTTAAATTCCTTGGTCGTATTGTGTGAGAAGGGAGAAACACAAACTCCCCTTTAAAAAAATACAAAAAAAAGTTACAAAGTACAACAAATGTTCTCTATTCGGCAACCCTAACACAAAAATCGTAAGCAGAAAGGATGATGATGATGTTATTGCCTATGTAGCGTCGTACACGCACAATTACACAGTCGCCCAAACAACAAATAAAACCACCCTGCCATTCAACAACCACTTCAAATGACAAGTGTTTAGATTAGCAAACAGATAAAGGAAATATTATCACCAACAAAAAGGACCAAAGGATATGCCTAACGAATTCGGGATGTACAACATTGACTTTGCAGCTTTTTTTGTTGCTGTTGTTGTTGTTTTTGGTTGTCGAATGTGCGGACGTTTTGTATTTAGATTTTTAATAAAACAGGTGCACGACCTTTTTCACAGAGTTATGTTGTGCTTTCATAGCCCAACATATTCGACAAGTAACCTTAGAAAGGTTTAAACTCTACCCTTCCAATGTCCAGCATCCCTTGTGATATATTTCTTTTTATTTGAAGGAATTGTTTGGTATGTAAAATTAAATTTGTGCGTGTTACATATTCTTGCCATGTAAATCTATTTCATCACACAGCATGACAAATCAAAGGGTGTTGTAGCAGATTTACTACAATCATTGGGATAAGATTGTAAATGTATTGTAGTTACTAAAAGGCAATAAAAAAACTACAAAATATTTTTTCCCGAAATTTCTTTAAACTCTGTTCAATGACCTTCCGTGCAGGGTGTTTGGATTTCGAAATGCATCTAAATAAAAAACCGATCTAACAATAATATCTTATTAGTAATTTTCACAAATCACAAACTTTATCAGATTTTGGCTTAACTCTAGTTTAGCAAAAACAATCAGATTTGTTTTGAAATTATGGGGATATATTTTTTCTTCGGATATTTCAAACGAAAGTTCCAGTACGGGTTCCCGGTTCTACGTTTAATAGATACAGTTTAAAACCCTGTTTTAGGAACTGTATTTAAAAAAACCCCCTAAGAGTCGAAGAAGAGGCCATTATAGAAATTTAAGCTTTTCAAAATGATGCCATTCGTGGTTGTATCTGTTTTGGGTCAAATCCTTTGGACCTTATAAACCTACAAATACATAGAAATTCTTACAATGGCCTTTGATCGGTCATTTCAGACTTCCTGCTATGGACAGTTAACATCGGCTATGCGACAGAATCTCCTTTTTATACCGCCCTCGAAAGCGGGCGATACCATATTGAAAAGTGCTACATTAACACTTGAGCCTATTTTAAAATGTTCCTGCTAATATGTTTTTTAAAATCCTGAAAACCTTTTAAAATACCTAAAAATTATATGGGATTATAACAAAACCTAGACCGATATATCCTAAAATCTACTGACAGTAGATCTATTTACAATTACCATCTAAATATGTCTTATAATAATTGACCATTATCAATAAACATAACTGTTTTATAAATTTTAAAAATATTATAGATAACCAGAAGGTCTTGTTGGATTATAACATACATTCAGATGTTTTAAGAGACCAAAAGGTCCTATTGAAACCCAAGCTGATCTTATACCAAACCCAAAAATCTATTTAAATTAAGACATTGATTTCTTCTAATGAAAAACCAGATAAAATATCAAAATTTGTTCTTATGGAAGAAGAACATGTATTAAAAATAGCGTCTCAGTTTGTTTTGTAAAATAAGTAATATTTTAACAAAATATATTAAGAATTATAATTTGTATTCCATTACAGTACGATATGCCGAATATAGGAACATATCATGCTGATGATTGGTCACTGGTGCCGACCATTGTCAAAAAACACATTTTTACTAAGTTTTCAAATCGTTTAACTTTAATACCAACTAATTACAATTTTTTTATGCCATCGGGAAGTTAACAAATTTTCGAAAGAGATTAAACTTAATAAAATATATAAATTGTTTAAAGTGCCGACGACTGTCACACTTACCCTAGTATGACTTCAGTTCCTTTTTAGGCCTCTGATATTTCGACTTCTATGCAAATATTCCATGCAGAGCTTTAGAAAGAATTTTTGACACGACTGGGTGTGATAGTCACAAGTTCAAATCATTTTCGACACTCAGATGGTACGATCCCATCGCTAAAAAAGCAACGCAGTTCCCAATTTGAAAGGATTCTGAAGGAACGTTGTCCTGACTCGCGTTTCAACTGTGGTTTTATCCAACACTTTTCTTAAATACATAATTTCGAATTTACAAATTTTTTCATCCGGTATTTACAGAATTTAGATAATTTTTCACGCTAAGAATTGCATTCAACAGAAAGAAACAAAAAACAAAAATTTCCAACGGAAATTGTGGAAATTGTAAACAAATCAGCTGACACAAATATTGGAGATGTGTGTTGAAATTTATCGATAAACCGTCAATGTCGTTACAGGATACCAAATTGTTGGCGACATCGGATTAACGTGACACTTGTACTGCAAGAATCATTAATATTATTATATGTGCTAGTGGCTAATCCACAGCAAAAGAATTGTTTTTAGTAGTAAGTAGCCACGTAAGATAGTTGTAAGCGCAGTTAGAATATTCTGTTACAATATAATGTACCAAATAAATATGACCTTTGGCAAAATTGAAATTGAATTTTAATATTTTTTTCGATATCATAAAGAATAAATTGTTATCGTAGTAAAAGGTAGTAGATTCTTAATTAAATAAATATAGAATTAACAAATTATAAAATTTCCAATGAATACACGCCTCTAATTGTCATAAATAACTAAAATTTTAAAACAGATAATGATATTGCAACATTACTGGAATATAGATAAGAACGTTCTTGTTCTACTTTTTCGTTAAATTTTTATAACAACAAAAGTTACACTCACTTTAGATTTATACAAGATATAAACAATATTCTTGTTTACGTACAAGTTTACAAAAACAACAAGCAGATATAGGTATCAGCCAAAACAAATAGTTCTAGAAAAAATAGTTATTTCTTTATTTAATAAAGGCCATTGTTTTTTCACAGCTTCATTGGAGCTGTTGTAGAATTCATTGTACAAAAATAATCATAATCAGTTCATAACAAATATATATTGCTATCTACAGTTTACAATACAAAATAATTACTTCCTAACAAATAGAAAAAAAATAAATAAAAATAAAATATCAAACTAGAGAAAGTCCAATTGATTTCGGGGCAGGTCAAAATCAAAGTTCGTCCTTATCATCGAATTCATATTCTTCCTGGATGGGTGCATCATTGCAATATTCAGTTTCCTCGGAACAGATTTTAATATCCAAATGTTCATTTAGGGTTTCTTCCTTGAAATATTTCACCACAACATCTTCGTAGTTTTCAATAAATTCAAGGCACTGCGAGGAAAACGAAAATATTTCAATTTTTATTATTTGCATTTATATGATGGAATGTGATTATCTACTTACATAGTGACCCAGACTCTTGTTCAAATCATCATCTTGCACAAAGTCAACTTCGCTGGAGGCAGGATTCATTTTACCGTCGATCATAATTTTCAGTAGCATAAATTTACCAGTCTTTTTGTGGGTGGCCCTCAAGTAATCATCCATTTGGTCGCACACCTTATCCATGACCTCACTTAGGAACAATTCGGATTTAGCCATGGGAACACTTTTGCCCACAGAATTTCCCTGGGCATCCAGACGAAAGCCGCTAACATCAATTTTCTTTTTAGGATCTACTTTGGCCACTTCTTCTTCAATTTCGCTGACAACTGCTTTGCACACTGCACTTGGTGGGGAAATCCCAACAATTAGGTACCGGCTTTTTAGAAATTATTAATATTCCACAACTTACCATGACATTTTACATCCTGTGCGGTAAACTTGGCCAAAGCTGGCACACACAATACCAAGAGAGCGGAAGCAATTAAAAGTGTTGCAGTCTTCTCCATATTCGATCAAATTTTATGAATCCACTTGTTATTATTCTTCTGATCTGTCCCTTTTTGTTTTGTTAGAAGTGGCCAAAAACATACGTGGCTCATAATTGGTTATCAAACGTCAGCCAACGATAACAACGAAGGGAAACTATCGAAAATATGACCTGACTATCGATAGTATGCCCGTGCTACTTAAATGTTATGTTTACACGATGTAATATTGAAAATGATTTATTCTTATGCCATGTTCTGACGGGCATCCGAACAACGTAGTTCGCTCTCAGAATTACGTACATTAATTAACCCGTTCATACAACACTATTCATAATCCATATCATCAGAGTTTTTTATTTCAAACTTTTTGTTTCTTGTTTTACACCAAAAATGTAACATATTTTAGTGAATTACATAGGGATCTAAATAGAAAAAATAATTCTCTTTCTCCTGACTATAGCATGAACCCATATCTATTTACTTTTCATTCATGTTTTCCATTTTTTCTGAAAATGTTGTTGTTTTTAATACATTTTTATATTTTCTCAATTCAAATGTCACATACTGTCACAAATAAAAATTTGGAGAATTTTTTGTTTGAGTTGCCCCACATTTGTTTCTTGTTTTGTACGCTAATTAGAACCAAGGGAAAAGAAATGCATATTGCATTATGTGGAAAACAAAATTTACATCCTGCTGCATATATAAAAACTATACAATTTTTTACTTTTCATTCATGATTTTCAATTTTACTGAAAAAGTTTGAAAATTTCATAAATATTTTCAAACTGTCAAAATTAATTTATTTTCGATAAATACTCTCAATTGTTAGGGATGGGACAAATTTATTGGTTATTCAGAGAGTGATTCGAATTGAACAACGTACAAAAGTCGGTGTTCGCTCAGACAATTTTGTATGGGGAACTAAGTAATTCCTTCATAATTAAGGGTCGAACAACGAATGAGAGAGCGAACAACGCTCGTCTGTACATGGCATTAGACAAATGTTATGTTTCAGAATTGATTGATATAAATAAATAGGGAAATTTGGCATAAAGTATGTATATTTGGGATTCGTTGAAATCTGGTTTGCTGTATTAAAGTGCATTGACATTTAAATAAACTTGAATAACGAAATCCAGAAATGTACCCAAACTGTTTACACATACCCTTAATCATCATATAAATCTCAACCAGCTGATGTTTGTTAGTATACATACATATAAAATTAAAAATGGAAGTAAATAATATAACAATTGAAATGTTTTGTTTTTTAATATAATATTCTTGCTAACCACAATAATTCTATTAATTACAAGTAAAAACACTTGAAAATGTTGGGTCATTGTGATAGAGTTGCATTTCAATAGTATCATGATTTAAAATAATACCGGCCGTAAGATAATTTAAATTTGTATGATAAATAAAGTCCCTAAATAGACCTTTTTCGTTTTTACGTTTAATTTGATAAACACGTGTTAGTTAAGCGAAATCTTAACAAATCGCAATTTTATAAAATTTTATTTTGGGCGTATTATACTTTTTAATGGCGACCTTCTTGTGAGCCGTCCGAAGACGAAGTGAAATAGAACTTTAATCGTCATCAATGTATTATGAAGTGAGGTGTCAGCAGTTTTATTTGGATGATCAATAAATAGACCTAGAAATTTGTTTGTACAGTACTAGTAATTTTTTGTATCAATTCGGTATCTAAGTGTAGTTCAAAATTAGGTTTCATTTTCATATATACTTAAGGGCTAAACAAAATGTTCGCGTTGGGCGTTTTTTGTTATCGCGTTAATGCACGCAAAAAGTTAAAATATATTTGAGTCCGAAGTGCAGTGCACATCAACTTCGCGTTGAGCCATCCGTCGCATTATATGCTATCGAAAGTACAACAACCACAAGGAAACGATATGCGTTTTTGTTATCGTTTCCTTGTGTTTGTTGTATTTTCGATAACATATAACGCGAAGGATGGCTCAACACGAGCATTCTGCTTAGCCCTGTACGCTTCGTATGCCACCAAATAGATTACAAGAGCGTATGAGAAATACAACTCTGTCATCATATTTGTAAAATACAACCCTGCAATAAGTAACCGGTACAGACAAAGAAAAAATCTTCTCACCAATTTGACTGTATCTGGTACTGAAATTTTTCATTTCACACTTGGATTGTCTTTGGAATTTCGTCTTTGTGCATTATTCGCAGTAAAATATATTTTACATAAAGGTAAGTGCAGAGAATCCTCCTCCGAAATATGTATAATAAGAAAAATTAACAAATCGAATAAATTCAGTAAAGTATGCGGTGAAACGGTGAAATTTTAAACAATGGAAAAACAAATTTTCCAAAGAAGAAAAAGTTACAAAAAATTGTGTGCAAAATGTGATGATTTTGTGTGTCGAAAGAGAGAGTAGTGTGTGGTATATGTATTAGAAAATGAGACAAAAACGACGACGACCATGTCAATTTTTTTTTTGTACATGGGGCTTGGCTAGTTGGCGGAAGCAGTGGCAGCCTTGAAATTAAAACAAAATCAATAAATGCATTGCAAATTATTTGTTTTACAGCAGCAGCAGCATCGTAAACTTTTCACCAAAAAGTATTAAATCCCAAACCAGTATTGGGAACTTCAAAAGAGATAACGCTTGAAACAGAATATAATGCTGAAAAGAAATTGATTTGATTCAATCAAGATGGCGGCGTTAGGTGAAGAAATTGTGTGCGCTTTGTGTTTTTTGGTCGGTTGGTTGGTGTCTTGCTGTTGTTGAGAGAAGAGACTACGACGACGGACGACCATAATGATGACTACCTACGACGTTTACAAAACAAACTGCTGGTGGCTTTGTGTGTGTGTCTGTTTGATTTTTTTCTTTAGAAGAAAGCAGCAAAGAAATTACGAAGAAACGCATAAAGGTAATGAAAAACCCCGCCACTTTTGGAACGATAATGAGGTGACGAAGACGACTACGACCACAACACAGCAGCTTCAAATCGGCTACTTTTCCACAAAGTACTAAATGGCCGAACAAATTTCACTTCATCTATCCATCATCATCTGTATCTGTTGTCTGTGTGTGTGTATATACATACACACAAGTTCATACTACATTAGTATACATGAGGCTTATGAAAAGACAGAACTTTGACCTCCATTTCAATGGAAAAGTGGAAATTTCCTTAGCAAAAAAACTGCAATTTTGTTTCGCTATTGAAAAAATCGTTTAAGCATTTCATATACAAATGGAATTGAGGTCAAAATCACAGATGTGTATATGTACATGTGTATGTAGGTTGATAAAAGGGAGGGGGATGCCTTCGACAGAAAAAAATAACCTCAAACTTTGTCATCATCATTGAATTTTTTCTACGATGCAAGACAAACGAGTTTTATCATCCCCCTTATCCTGTAAGGTATGAAATCTAGGGGTGGTGGTGGTGGCAATGGTGCTAATCAAGTCTAAGAGGGGGTGACTTTTCCACCCCCGCCGAGATGTAGCAAAAACACCCCTAATCTGAAGTGACAACAAATCCCAAAAAAAAGACCCAAATTCATCCACTGCTTTAGCATTAAAGAGAAATCAATGACCTGTTTTTAAGAAATTCCAGACTCATACACACACAGAGGCATTCTTTATTCTTGCCTTCTTTTGTTATTCTTTTTCACTTTGCTTTGTTTAGTTCACATTGCCTCATTTTCTGACGTCGTCGTTGGCAGTAATCATGACAGGACTTTCTCCCCCCATTAGAGTGCAAGGAAGACAAGAGACAAAGGAAACTGAACTGTCCGTTCTCCATCCATACTTGTTCTCTCTCTCTCCCTATTATGAGGTTAAACAAAATGTGATCAAACTTTACTTTTTTCGTGTGTTTGCTTTGTTATAATGGTCTTTGTGTTTGTTGTTGATGTCGTTCTATACTGGTCGGTTCTCTTTTTTAATCTGGAAGAACAAAGAAAGTTCCCCATTTATTATTAAGAATCATAAAAACATTTTCTACAACGGCAACGCCGACGTCGTTGTTGCCGTCACGTATACTAACTAAGTGCAAACACACAGACGCACAATGAATGCATGGATTTGAAATATAATGAATCATTAAACCACTACTGCTGGCTGAGTGACTGACTGACAGTTGTTGCCGTTGCTGGTAAATTCTTTTAACCTCAAAAACAAAACGACATCGTTGCTAGAGCTTGCTATCGGGTTAGTACTATTTTTTTGTTTTTGTTTTATAAAAGGCACAGCGTGTGAGAAAATGGGGGATACAAAGAGAGAGAGAAGAGAGTGTATGTAAAAAACAGTAGAATGAAAAAATAAAAATTAAATTATTATTCGTGCTGGTGGTGGTTGGTTGTTGATCTTGAAGTAATTGTTTATGGAATATACAGCAAAACCCACACTCACACACACACATCCACACTCACTTTTGCATTCGTCCGTCAGACAACAATGAAATGACATCGGAAATTAGCAGGAAATAAAACATTCATTGTGAGTCTGCTGCTGGTTCAGTTTCATTCAGTTATAATTTTTCGGGGGAAAATATAGGTTCGATACCACCTCTATAGATAGGTTTTTTTGTTTTTGTTTATATGAGTCATCACATTTTGCAGCACCGATTTTTTTTTTCGTCTTCATCACACCTTACTAATTTTATCTTTTGCCTTTTTCTCTTTGCAGGACTTCAAGACATCTATTTAGAAATTATACAAATATTTAAATAATAACAAGAATTGTCGAAAATTCCTCTTAATCCATTATTGAAATAATTTGTTTTTTTAAATCTACGAAATATCCGAGAAACAACCACAATCCTCATACCGTACATACAACAATACTACTACATACAACATACATAGATTATATTTGCTGAAATTCCGATTTTATTTTTCTTAATAGTAGAGTCAACGGAGAAAGTGTTAAGATTTACAAAACGGTTCTGACTAATTTCTTGTGTATTTTTTTGAAACCCAAAAAGGAAACCAGTCCTTTTTCTAAGTGTAATTGTGTTTGTGTTCAGACAACTACGACAAAGACGCAGTGTACTGCGCTTCAAGGACTTGCCAAGAGCCAACAACTACACACAGTGATTTTACTCCGGGCAACACTAATTTGGGGTTGCGCAGGAGTTAAAACCAATCACCACCACCACCCGAACGAACAACCAGAAGAGGAGATACATTTTGTTGGTCCGGTGTTTATTAAAAATTTTTCACCATTCCTCAACCAACGTTAAATAGTCATTTCTCTCAGTCTTACGACGATAAACGACAGTGTTGGGACTCTGGTGCCAACATTGTGCTAGTGCAAAACACTGAAAGTAATTTCGCGTTGCAGGACCGCATATATAAAACAAGCACCATTGAGGGAGGCAGCAGTACCGGTGACCCAAGCATCGGAGGCAGCAATTTGAAGCTAGCAATAACGGCTAATCACGACGATACTGAGTGTTTTAACGAGAGTTTCCATAATCGAGGAGGAGGAGGCGGTGGCCAATCCCCGCCGACACCTACTGTCGGTAAAACCTTGCTGAACACCAGCGCAAATCTATTGCCGATAACCACAGCATCGGATACGTTCAATAACTTGAAGAACTTGTTGAAGATCGACAAGGGCTCGTCGCCAACTAGCAACGGTAGCGCAGGCATCGGCCATCAAGGCGGCAGCGGTGGTAATCGCTCCAAAGAAGTCGGTGGTGGTAGCGGCGTTTACAAGCGTTCGCCCAACTCAGGCGACAACGTTCGCAGTAGTTTGAACGGCGGCGGTAGCAGCAACAGATCTGGAGCTCCAGGCGCTTCGGGACACTTTTCCTCTGGTTATAGCAAGAATTCCGCCAAAATTCGTCAACACGATTCAGAAGTAAGCCCACGGCCTCGGCGATCTTTCCAGAACGATTCGTCGTCGTCGCGTTACTATAACAAAAATAGTGACATTTTGGGAGGCTCACAAGCTGGAGGTTTAGGCAGCAATAACAACTCCAATTCTGGAGGTAATCCGTACAGTGGCAGCAACAGTAGTGGCGGCACTGGCGGACGTGGCGGTGGTTCATTGAACGCTAACAACAATAGCAGCGGTGCATACCACAATTCCCACTCGGAAAGCAATAGCGGCGGTAGCGGCAGCGGTCGACGCAATTATCAACCACACAATTCCGATGGCGGCGGTTATTCGCGTAATTTAAATTCGGGAGGCTCGGGCAGCGGATACCGCTCTCAACGCTACGAAAACGGCAATGGAAACGGACAACAGCGTCAGTACGGTTCTTCAACTAACGCTGGCTATAACAACTATCATAACAACTACAACAACAACAAATCATACGGACCACGATCATCCGCCAATGATGGCAATGTAAACAGTTATCGTTCATCGCATCAACGAGAGAGAGGCGACCGAGAGAGAGATCGCGATCGCGACGATTACGGCGTCAACGGTAGCAGCAAAAATTATCGTGACTACGACGATTCTCCCAGAGGTGTTGGGGGAGGGGGCGGAGGCGTAAGTGGCGGTGGACGCTACACCAACGGAACATCCAACAGTGATCGTAATATTACAGCCAACGGTTCATCTGGAAGCAATACAAACAGCCTAGAGCGTCGTTTGCCACCCTCTGCTTTGCGCTCATCGGGCATAGAGCGAAGTGGTAGCTCCTCATACGAACACCGTGAACGAGATCGTTCGCTGAACAATCGCTCACCCCCCGTACGTGGAGGAGACCGAGACCGCGGGGACCGTGATGCATTGGGCGGCCGACAAGATTTATCATCCGGACAGTCATCAACCGTAAACTCTTCATCTTCTTCGCGTGGCATATCGCCAAATTCTGGCGTCGGTACATCGGCATTAACTGCAGGTGTATCCAGTCAACAACCCACACCGGCTGCAACTCCACCACCATCTGCTGGTCGTTGGGTGCCGCCATCATTGCGTCCTCAACATGGACTTACTCAAGCCGAAAAGAATGATGCTGTATTCAGAAGGGTAAGTGGAAATATATATTCACCTCACGGTTGAGGGTATAAGTTTACAGGCAGGTTTGCTGGGATGGGAAACTGGGGACCATTGAAATGTTTGTTATATTGTGTGTTAATTCTTCAACATATTCTCATTGCAGGTCCGTGGTATTCTTAACAAGTTGACTCCAGAAAAATTCCAAGAACTTAGCGACGAACTATTAAAACTCGATTTAAATTCAATTGCAATTTTGAACGGTGTTATTCTGCTGATTTTCGATAAAGCTTTGGATGAGCCCAAGTACTCGTCTATGTACGCACAGCTGTGCAAACGTTTATCACAAGAAGCCCCATCATTTGAGAAGGAACCAGGAGGTTTAAGCACATTCTTACGTTTACTCATTGCCGTTTGCCGCGACAAATTCAACAATCGCCAAAAGCGCGACGACGAAGCCGATTCACAATTCAACAAAGTACATCGTCCCCAAGCACTAGCCGAAAATGATGCTGATGAGGAGGAGCGCCGCCATTTGGCCAAACAGCGCATGTTGGGCAACGTTAAATTCATTGGAGAACTCCACAAGCTGGACATGTTGGCCAAAAATGTTCTGCACCAGTGCATCTGCGAACTTTTGGATAAGAAGAACAAGCGTACGGCCACGAAGGAGGAACTGTGCGAGGACATGGAGTGCTTGGCACAGTTGCTCAAGACGTGCGGCAAGAACCTGGATTCAGAACAGGGCGAAGAGCTGATGAACCAGGTCATGAACAAATTGGAACGACGATCGAAATCAACTGATTATCCACCCAGAATACGTTTCCTCTTGAAAGACGTAATCGAATTGCGTGAAAACAATTGGGTACCTCGCAAAGTGGGCACCGCTGAGGGACCAGTGCCAATAAAGCAAATTCGCACTGATGATGAGCCAATTATCCGAACTCCATTCGCTAACCGCAATCGTGACATGCGTAATAATCGTGATGACCGCGACAACGACAGTTGGATGGGTCGATTATCTTTGAATTTACAACCGGGAGGTTTGAACGACATGTTCTCGGGACTTAGTGTTACAGGAGCATCGCCAATTATATCACCGTAAGTTTAGAGATAACAAACCCTATTCAATGACAATATGTTTATATATTCGATCTTTTTGTTGCAGATTTACCACGCCCGTGGCTAATAACAGACAGTATAATTCCAATAATCGTGATCGCAACCAACAAGGAGGTAGTGGCAATTACAACAGCAACCGCTACAATAAGCACAATCAACAGAATGGTCCCGGCACCGGAGGAGGTGGCAATCGCGAAGATCGCCCTCACAACCGGGATAGAGGAGATAGAGACCGCGATCAATCAGGCCAATATCCATACAATGGCGTGAATCCACTGAACAAGGACTTAGCACCGCGCTTCAAACGCAACATCATAACACCCAACCAAGATTCCGTAGAAAACTTGCAAATGAGACCGGCTGCCAATTCGCTACTCTTTAAGGCAGCCTCCCAGAATCAAAAACTTCCATCGATGCTGCCCATGTCCACGCCACCATTGAGCAACAGCAGCAATACTCCTCTGTCGGGAGGACTTGGCAGACTGGGTGGTGGCAACAAGGATGTGCAACTTTCGAATGCACAATATCCGCTATTAGGAACACCAACAACACACCTCACATCCATTCAGCAACAACAGCACCAACAAAGTCCAAGACCATCTTCCACACCATCAGCTGAGGCCGAATTCAAATCTGGTAACGGCCTCGAGAAATCTCTCAAGAGTACTTCTTCGAATCCAGACTTTGCCAAGAACTCTTCTAGCTTTGGCAACTCCCAAAGAAATACGGAAGCCGTCGGCAGCGATCAAAATGAAGACATCAATGATAGGAAGTCCCGCTTGAATACACCTACGTCACAACTAGTGACCAAACAGGGTTCAACGGAAAAATCTGGTGCTAATGTAGCTGCTGGTAGTGGTTCGGCTGCCAAGCAACAGAAGAAGGATAAGGCCTTCAACAAGGATGAGGTGCTCAAGAAAACTGCCAGCTACATCAAGGATAAGTTCTTTTATGCCAAGGAAGAGAGCGCCGAAGAGGAAGATAAAAAATTGGCTGACGTTGTTGAAGGTTTCATGGAACTGAAAGTGCCAGAAAAGTGTATGAAGGATGTTTGCATCAACTGCATATTGGATGTCTTGGAAAAGGCCGATGATCATTACCTAGAAAGAGTTTTGAAATTCCTGCAAAGCCTGAAGAAGCAAATCAACTTGAAGAACAATATTGTCTTGGAAGTGTTTAAACAAGTAGTGAAGAAAATGAATGAGCGCGAAGCTCTGAATCCCCGCATAACTACTTTTGTGGCAATCCTGCTGGCCAAGGGAACCGTTGGCGAATCTGCCCTTTTGAAGCTCAGCGACATTGCGAACTACACCGACAATGGTCAACATTATCCATTGTTTTTGTTGGTGCTTCAACAGTTGTGTAAACTTATAGGCAAGGAACCACTGGAGGAAATATTCCGCGCTAGTAAAATTGATTTGATGAACTGTTTGCCAGAGGTGGACCGCAACAAGACCCGTTTGGCTGAGATTCTAGAGGACCGTTCATTGACGTTCCTCTACCCGCTGCTGAAGGTTCAGGCCGAAATGAGCAAACAGTTGAACTCGAATCCTGATCCCACAGCCTTCTACAAGTGGATCAAGGCCAATGTTGAGTCGAAATATTACAAAGAGGAAGGTTTTATCAGTGCTCTAATGACAGTTGTCGTCAAATACGTAACATCAAAAACCAGTTTCCCTGAAGGTACAGACGTCAAAGTTTGTCCCGACAAGGCAACCATTCAAAAAGAAGAAAGTCTGTTTGAAAACTACTGCCAAATCCTTAAGTCGTTCTTGGGCCACAGTATTGAGTTGCAGCTTTTAGCCATCTATGCTCTGCAAGTATTTTGCGTTAATGAGAACTTCCCCAAAGGTAAGACGGAATGAGACGTTAAGGCCTATGATTTTTCAACACACACTTTTCTTTTCTATTTTTAGGTATGTTGTGCCGTTGGTTCAAATATCTTTATGAAGCTGAAGTCATTGACGAGGAAACCTTCATTATGTGGAAAGAAGAAATATCTGACAAGTATCCTGGAAAGGGTGCAGCTTTATTCCAGGTTAATAACTGGCTGACTTGGTTGCAAGAGGCCGAATCTGAGGATGATGAAGACTAAATGCAACAAAACAAAAACATTACAAGAGAAAATATTGAAAACAGAAATGTATTAGATTTTAAAAAGCCCATTATTATTGTTACACTCTAATCTAATCAAGTCCTTTTTCTTCTACTGCAAACCGCAATGCAAGGCTTCAGTTTACGACAGTTTCACACTGTTCCTTCACAATGAAAGTTAAATTATGTTAGTAAAATTACAATGATTATTCAAATCTCCTTGCCTCCCCCAGCCCTCTCTCTCTCTCTCTCAATCAAATGTCGAGTTTATACGACTTTATAGTCCCCAATAAAAATGTACCCTCCCTGCGCCTCTTTTAATTTTAATCTTATACTTTTTATTTTTATTACCATAACTACAAAACAACAACAATTTGACAAAATCTAGCAAAAAATATATTAATTGTGAGAACAAAAATCAATCCTCGAAATTTATATTAAACAAAAAAAAAAACGTGGATTCAATTGAAAACCAATCAATAACAAAATTAAAAAACAAATATTAAAATTCCATTAAATATAAAAAAATACAAAAGAAAAATAATAAAAATCAATAAATAAAAACAAAAATAAAGCGAAAACAACAGCTAATCGCAAAACTGCATTGATATTCATTTTCTTTAAAATGTGTGTGTCTCTATATTTGGGGTTCCGCACATTTTTGAACTTTTTCTAAAACAAGTTCAAAAATGTGAAGATACACCTAAATGAACTTTGAGGATATTGGAGACATGTTGTGCCTCCGACAGATATGCATTATCGTGTCGGATTACGGTTTATGTTATGCCCCAAAAATCCCATCACCATGGATATGGTGAATTCTTAATTAAAGTCCCACTAGTTTTTTAATGTTTGAGCTTCCGTAAATTTTTGTATTTAAAATGAGCAGATTATAATTATTCCAACAAGTAGAAAACAGCTGGCCGTTTAAATAAAACTTAAGGGGACCCCCCCATTCTCGGGGTCAAAATTTTTGTTGATATAATTCGAATCTACACTGATTAAAGAATGTCTCTACAAAATTTCAAGTGAAAATCTCAAGAACTCTTGAAGATATAGCCGATTTATTGTGTCGAAGAGCGAAGTCAATAATCCTAGTTCATACGAGAGCCAGACATGTACTCTTTCTAACACCGTTGGAATTTTCGGATTCCGATGTTCCAGTGAGGAGTTATCATGACCGCCATAAAAAATAGGGACTTTTCTTTAATTACAAAAAACAACAACAAGACAATAACAAAAAATTTTTGTAAATTATTTTTCTTCTCTTTTAAATCTTCAATGATATATGTGCAAAGTTACAAACCTTAACAAGCATTTTGTATTCATTTACCAGCCCATTGAAAATCTTGAAAAATTAAAATCGAGAATGGGTGGGGTTCCCTTAATTGGCATTAGTTAAACAGTCAAAAAATTGATTTTAATTAAATACGAGACACCCTGTAACCAATAAATAGAGTTGTATTCAGCATTAGCAATAAGTAACCGGTCGGTAAACAAAACAAATACACTTCGTCACACTATAAACAATTACTTCTTTACAAATAAAGAAATTTTACGCATTATCCGTATTTAAATTGCAAAACAAAAATACGACAATAAAACCAGCAGACATCCGGGAGCAGTAGGTATAGCTTACAACAAAATACCATCGTCATTAATTAACCTCAATTGTATGCCGGTCGATAATGACTTGCAAATGCCACTTTCAGAAAACCCAAAACAAAATAGAACACGCACACACACACACTAGCACACCATGCCAGAAGAAAATAACACAGAACAATGTGGGGATTCGAATAAGACATTTACCTCCAGCCAAGGCCAACTCCTGGTGGGTGATAAAAAGTACACCGTGCGTTCACTGAAGATGAATGGCGCCACTATGATGTTTCTTGGCTCGGCAGAGCCAGAATGTTTGGATGAGATGGCAGTAGCAATGCAAATGCCTCAGGATGGCCAAATAATTGGCACCACAATTTTGGGAGCCCAGAGCAGCATAACCGACTCACAACGATTAGCGGAACAGTTTACACGTCGTTATGGACGACAATTTTTTGTTAGTTTCAATGTTCAAGTGGATCGGATGACAGCCCCACTTCTTGAAAAACAATTAAATGAATATATGCGTAACAATAAGGAGTTGTTTGTTTAAGCGACGACATTATACATACATACGTATGTATGTACATAGTTATGTATATGTAATATATGTATTTCAAAATTATAATATATTTTCGTTTTAAGAACTACTTAATATACCCTCGTGTCTTGTACATTAGATTTAAAGTTGTTATATATTTGAATATACTTCTGATAATTTAAAGATCAGAATTGAAATAGAAACAAATATTTTTCTATAAAGTCGTCGTCCCCAACTACCAAATATTCCGACTACTAGCACATATTGCAAAATTGAACCAACAATGCTGTACAGGAAGGGAAGAATTTTTGCAAAAAGTTGTATCAACAATTTATGGTATTTTTTTATATTTCTGATGTAGACAACATTTTTCTAAGTTGTAACTACCAAATATTCAACTTATTGAAAAATTGAACCAACAATGCTGTACAGGAAGGGAAGAATTTTTGCAAAAAGTTGTATCAACAATTTATGGTATTTTTTTATATTTCTGATGTAGACAACATTTTAAATAAGATAGAGTATTAGCAGAGAGATGTTAGACAGCTCAAAATAAAAACAATTATGCATAACAACAAGAACAACATACACAAAAATAATAAACATAATTTTGTGTAATTGCACAATGGCTATTCCAAGATTGGTCCGAAAGTATATTGCTAAATCATAGAATTTAGAAATAAAAATTCACTGAGGAAAACCACACCAAAGGCTTTCTAAATACAAAAAAGTTCTAGAAGCAAAATGGGCGTTTTGTGTACAAATTTTTAACAACATTCACTAACCATGAGGAATTATTATATTGACTGTTTCATTGTTAGTGTCTTTCAGGTAATATAAAATTGTTCTTCTTTATTAAGCTTTACACAGTTTCCAGTAAATTAAAATATATATATATATATTCAAAAATAGTATATTCATTAAATATCCTCCATGGTCCCAAGATATTGACCTATTTTTTCTAATAATAGGCGATGGCGGAAGTTGGTTTTTGACAGGTTCAACGATTGTCAAGTCATCATGATAAATGCAAACTCGCCGCCATAATAATGAATGTATGTATTTTAAAATATTTTTTCTGAGATAAGCGTTGGTGGTTCTTTGTTGTTTTCAAAATAAAAAGCTTTACACAGTTTCCCAAAATAATTTTGAAAATAATCATTGAATTTTGCAAAAAGTAGGCGTGACAGGTTCAACGATTATCAAGTCATCATGATAAATGCAAACTCGCCGCCATAATAATGAATGTATGTATTTTAAAATTTTTTTTCTGAGATAAGCGTTGGTGGTTCTTTGTTGTTTTCAAAATAAAAAGCTTTACACAGTTTCCCAAAATAATTTTGAAAATAATCATTGAATTTTGCAAAAAGTAGGCGTGTATAGATAGACCATTGCGTTAATAACTGTTCGAACGTTCAAGGTCTATATTAGAAGTCTTCTTTGCTTTAATTGCATTTTGATTTGAAAGAACAAGCCACTTTGTCCTCGCAGCGAGTTTTTTTTTAGCATTTTCAATTTTCCTTATTCTGAATCAAGTTCGAAAGCTTAGGGGAAAATTTTTTATTCTGGATTACATGGAGTGGGAGAATGTGATGTAAATAAATTTAAAGAGAGCTGATAACAAAAATATAAGTATTATATATTTTTATATATTATATATTTTGAATCGCTTTTGGCCCTTTGGGCTAGATTCTCGTTTATGAAAAAAATAGAAATTGAAAATTGATATATCTATACAATACTTATTGTATGGCAATTTTGAATATTATATGCAATTTGGAGACGAACTCGAGACATTTTGCCTGACCAAAAGTCGGGTTTTATACATGCAACTTTTATAAGCGACTCTGATGCTGCTCTCTTCGATTCTCTTTTGAATGTCTTCCCCCTTGTCACTTTTTATACCTCTCACTTCCAAGAACTCAGCAGAGTTGCTTACAAAAGTTGATTTGTCCCAATTTATATTAGGCGAGTTTAATTGCGGCAAGTCTTTGCTTGAAGGAGAGATGGGCAAGGGGAATAGAACTTGAAAAAAATTGCTCGTACCGACAATTTTCTGGCAATTCGTTTTGTGAATTTTGTTTGTAGTGTGAGTAATTTAAAATACCAATCCAGAACATTGTCAAAAAAATATTTTTGAAATCGAATTGCCTTGTATAGACGAATGAAGCAAGTTCAAAAGAGAACGATAAAAATTGCCGCAAGAAAACTCGCCTAATATAAATCAGGACTTTCTTTGCAGGATTTAACCCTTTCAGTGTTTTTGTCGAATATATTCGACATTTAAAAGTACTCTCTTTCTTTGCGATCCTATATACCGTTACTATTGATGTGTTTGTTTTTGCTGAAAGACAGACGAAACTGGCTGAGGGTTAAAATGAATTTTTGTGAATGAATACACAAACGAAATCTCTCGCTAGCGAATATCCAGAATAAGGCTGAATGTTTTTTAAATCAGGTAACGCCAGAAATTTTTTCTTCAAAATCGATTTTTTTCATTTAAAAACTTAAATATTTTTCTTTTTTTCATTTAAAAACTTTAATGTTTTGGCATGAAGCTGAAGCTAGTGTATAGAAGAATATAAAACACCAACATAAATTGATGTAAAGAAATTGACCGATTTAACAGTTATTTCCTCGAAGCGGTACTGCTTTGATGTGTTCTTGATGACATTGGCGCTAAATGATTTAAACATTTTGTGAGGGAAGTACTTTTAGATCAAATAGAATATTCAATTCACATCACATTAGGTATACATTTTGACAATTTTCAGAGGAAGAAGAAGAGTCAAGGTTATAATTGAACGTAAACAATAGCTAATATAGGTGACATATTAACAATATAAAAGTACCGACCAATTTCAAAAATATGTAGGGCTATTGCCACATTTTCTAAACAAAGTCGTCACATCGCCATTTTTAATTTCGAGGTAGATGTGAGTGACTTGGTAACATCCGGTTACTTCAGCTCCAACTAAAGGCACAAGTACGCAACTATTGTATTAATATTTTTAGTTTATTAAATGTAACTACATTTTTTTAAACTCAAGATATAAAATCCCTCGGATTAAATTAAAATTCTAAATAAGTCTCAATTTATATTGTTCGAGTTTACTTGCGGCCAGTCTTTGTTTGGGGGAGTGAGAATAAAAAATTGCCTGTACCGACAATTTTCTGGCAATTCGTTTTGTGTATTTTGTTTGTAGTGTCAGTAATTTGAAATGCCAATCCAGAACATTGTCACAAAATGTAAAAACAAGCAATATATATATATATATATATACATATTTTTTTGAAACCGAATTGCCTTGTATAGTCGCATGAAGCAAGTTCAAAAGAGAACAATAAGAATTGCCGCAAGTAAACTCGCCTAATCTAAATCAGGACTAACTATCAATAAATTTTGCATAGCTGGTAACGAAAATACCACCTAGGTCTACAAGTCATGCAGCCATATATTTATCTTTATGTCATTTTAAGAGATTAGTTATCCATCATTTTTATATTTGTCAACCTTCGCTTCTCTTCACTTGGCAGACATATCTGTGGCGTTTCTGTGTTTCCGTTCGTTGACACGTGAACCATATACTTGCAATGTCATTGTTATTAATTTTGAATAGATGTAGGAATACGAAAAGATAATAATACTAGGTCTCATATGAAGATACCGCATTTAATAATAATCCTTAGGTGTGCTAATAAACACACAATCCAATATTGTTATCTCTGTGAGTAATAGGCCATCTATTATATTGATCACACTCTTGGTGTGGAGTACATAATTGCAAAAGGCCCACTATGAACTAGTAGCGGGGGACATTATCTCCACAAAAACACAACAAAACAAATGAATAACTCTAACTCTTTTTATCTATTGACACATCATCCTCGTCATCGGACGACAAGATTTGCTTTGTGTGATGATGCTCTACTACTAGCTGACAGAACATATTTTCAGTCAATATGTTTTGTTGTTGTTCATTATGTTTAGTGTGCAACACCGTGGAGGGTCAACTATCCAGCAACACAAATGAAATTGTACAAAACAATCGGGGTCTTTACATCTCTAAACAGAGAAGAGGTGATGTTTGTGTGCAGGCGTGTGTATTTGTGTGTGCATACATATTGGATATTTATGTTGCAGTAGCGCCTGCCTGCCTCCCTGCCTGCTTGTCTGCCTAGCTGTGGCCAAATGATTTTATTTCTGTAGGCAAACATTTCGATTAGGCCCATCATAAAGGTGGACCCCACGGACCTTTACTTCCAGAGGTAGAGTGCCACTCAATTGTGCACATTTATGATTGTGATCAGTGACGACAGGATCATTTAGTAAAATGTGCCGTGTGCATAGCAACAAATAAATCGATCGCGAAAATACCATTGTTGTCTTCAAATTAAAAAAAGAGAGAAAAAAACATTCGAAGCAATTTGGCGGTATGTCTAGACAATTTCAATAATTCGTTTAAATTTATAGTGCAGTTTTGGTATTATTATTTTTGCGTGATGTTGTTTGTGGCGAATATTTGTATAAATCAATTACGATTAGCAAAAAAAGAAATGAACGATCCAGAATTATTTGATATCTTACATTGACGTTATTCAATGTCTAGCCCCTCGTAATATAAAGATAACAATTTCTTTGCCAAAAAATGAAAAAAAATTGAAATGATTATCTTAAAGAACAGTTATTGACCGTCTGGCAAGAAGTTCCATTAATTAGCTATTGTGAAAATGGACATACGAACATTTTGAACTTTGTATTTATGTGGTTAATCATGGTGTATTAATAGTAATATGTTTGAAGAAAAAATTGAAAGATATGTGATGCTTATTTTTATGTTGAAAGCTAATGTAAAAAGATGATAATTTACGACAGCCTTAAACGTAGAATTATTATTAATTATATCTGAACAATATCCATTATAACAATCCATTTTTTTTTTAATTTGAGATATTTAAATAAAATATCACGAATTAACTAGTGCGAAAATATCCATTACTTTTGACCAATG